TCGATTTCAGATTGAAGAAGGTGGTAGAATTCTTCTATTTCATCTTCTTTGGCTTTAGTGGTTGGTGTGTAATTTTGAGTAATTGTGGTGTTAACTGGGCTTCCCTGTAGGCGCATGGATATTATTCTATCACAGATGGCGTAGTGTACCTCATGACTGACCTGGATATGTTCTTTCTGACAATGAATCCAACACCATACCTCTTCAATTTGTCATTCCTTGCATAGTAAACCATATGGTTGTCAGATTCAAAGAAAGTAGATTAGTGATTTCCAAATGCTGAGGTTTCTTTCTGGAGTGATAAAAATATTACAAAATTTATTGTAGTGATGTACTTAAAACTATGTTAATATACTAAAAGCCAAAGAACTGTATATTTTAAATGAGTGAATTATAGGTGAATTGTATTTTTTTTTCACGTGCTGATAGTTTTTTCCCTATTGTGGTTCATATATTGTTGCGTGCTTTTTTATTGTAATTTTTTTACTACCTTCCCCTTCATCCTCTAGCTAGTAACTTCCCCTATCTTCACTTTGCCACCCTTGGTAACCTTCAAACGATAATTCTTGTGGTGTGTAAATATTGTCTAGTCTTTTTACAGTAGTGGTCTCATATAATATTTGTCTTTTTGTGACTGCCTAATTTCACTCAGCATGATGTCCTCCAGGTTCATTCATGTTATGAGGTATTTCATAGATTCATCATTATTCTTCAATATTGTGCAATAATACCCACTGTGTGCATGTGCCATTTATCCATTCTTCCACTGATGGAGATTAGGTTGTGTTCATCTTTTTGTTATTGTGACAGTGCAATGAACATGAGTGTGCATGTATCTATTTGTGTCCTGGCTCTTATGTTTCTAGTATATATACCAAGTACTGGGACTGTTGAGTCATATGGTATTTCTGTTTCCAACATTTTCAGAAAGTGCCATACCATTTTCTGCTGTGGGGTCATCATTTTATAGTCCAACCAGCAAATGTATGAGGGTTCCAGTATCGTCACATCCTCAGCAGCAATTGTTGTTTTCTATTTCTTTGAACTTTGCTATTAATGTTGAGGTGAGAGGATATCTCATTGCTGTGTTGATTTGCATCTCTTGTCCTGGTGTGGCTCTGTGGGCCAATGGCTAATTTCAGACTGCAAAGTCGTTTGAACTGTAAGTTTGGTCGTTCAAGTTCGCTAGCTGCTTCTTGGAAGCCCTATACAGGGTCGCTATGGGTCGGAATTGACTTGATGACACTTAACAACAACAACAAAATGGCTAATGGTCATGAGCTTTTCATGATATGTTTGTGGACAGCCTGAATGTTTTCTTTGGTGAAGTGTCTGTTCAGATCCTATGCCCATGTTTTCATTGGATTGTCTTTTTCTTGGTGAGGTGTTGAAGCCTATAAATTTTAGAAATTAGTTCCTTGTCAAATATGTCATTGCCAAAAATAATCCCCTAGTTTGCACATTCTCTTTTCACTCTTTGGTGAAATCTGTTTATGTACATGAATGTTTAATTTTTAGGAGGTCTCAGTCATCTAGTTTTTCTACTGCTGTGTGTATCTATGGCACGTATTAGGGCTCCTAAGTTTGTCCCTATTTTTTCACTAATGATCTTTTTAGTTCTAGGTTTTACTCTTAGGTATTTGATTTATCTTGAGTTCATTTTTGTATATGGTGTGAGATGTGGGTCCTGGTTCATTCTTCTGCAAATGGATATCCAGTTTTGCCAGCACTTTCTGTTGAAGAATTGACTATCTCTTCCCCCATTTAATTCCCTTTGGCCCTGTGTATAGATGGATTTACTTCTGGGTTCTCAATTCTATTTCATTGATCTATGTATCTTTCTGACTGTGTAGCAGAATTTTAGGTCAGGACGTCAGACACCTCCAAGTTTGTTCTTCTTTTCAAGTAATGCTTGCTTATTCAAGGTCTCTTTCCTTTACATGTAAAGTTGTTGTTTGTTGTTGTTAAGTGCTGTTGAGTTGGTTCTGACTCAGCGATGCTGTTTAGGGTTTTCAAGGAGCAGCTGGTAAGTTTGAACCTCTAACCTCGTGGTTTAAACTGACCTTGCAGTCCAGTACTTTATCCTATAGCACCACACCAGTGATCAGTTTTGTGGTTTTTTTCAATTTTTTTACAAAATGGTGTTGGACTATGGGTTGGGATTGCATTATATCTATATATTGCTTTGTATAGTGTTGGCATTTTCACAATTCAAAGTCTTCCTATCCATGAGCATAATCTATGCTTCCATTTAGGTAAGTCTCTTGTTTTCTTATAGTAGTATTTTGTAGTTTTCTTTGTATAGAACTTTTATCTGGTTATATTTATTCCTAAGAATTTCATCTTTTGGGTGACTATTATAAATGGTGATGCTTTCCTACTTTCCTTCTCAGAGCTCTACTTGTTATTATATAGGAGCTCAAGAGATTTTTCTATGCTGATCTTTTGCCCTGACACTTTGCTGAATCTTTCACTAAATTCTAATAATTTTCTTGCTGAATCTTTGAGATTTTTTCTGTATAGGATCATATCATCTGCAAATAGAGTTTTATACTTCTTTGCTAACTTGGATGTCTTTAATTTCTCTTTCTTGCCTTATAGCACTAGCTAAGAATTTCAGCACGGTATTGAACAGGGTAGTGACAAAGGGCATCCTTTGTGTGGGTCCCCTTCACAAGGGAATGTTTCAGTTTCCCTCCATTGAGACTAATGTTGGTCATTGGTGTTGTATTTATGCCTTGAATTATGTTGAGGAATTTTCCTTCTATTCCTATTTTGTTGAGAATTGCTTTTATCAAGAGTGGGTCCTGGACTTTGTCAAATACCTTTCTTGCAGCTATCCATATGATCACGTGGTCCTTTTCCATTGTTTTATTTATGTGGTGGATTACAATGACTATTTTTCTAATGATGAACCATCCTTGCATACTTGCATACCTGGTATGAATCCCACTTGGTCATGATATATATATATATATATATATATATATTTTTTTTGAAAGGATTATGTTGGTTAAGATTTTGTTGATAATTTTTGCATCTATGTTCATGAGAATCATTGGCCTATAATTTTCTGTTTTAGTGATGTCTTTGCCTGGTTTTGGTATCAAGGATGTGCTTGCTTCATAAAATGAATGTGAACTACTTCTTACAGGAGCTGTTATTTTTAAAAAAAGAATGTACTTCTTACAGGAGCTGTTATTTTTAAAAAAAGAATGTACCAAAAAGGAGCATGTAATAGGATTATATTGATATGATATTGTATATATATGGGGGTATAAGTAAAGTAAAATATTAAGAACAAAATCAAATCCTATTATCCTTAAAAGCTACTGTTTCCTTATCCATTAAGTAAATGTTATAATTCTAATTATGCCATAAAGTTGTTCCAATAATTACAAGGATGATCCATATAAAATAGCACAATGCCTAGCACATATTAATCACTCCAATAATGTCAAGTCTTAATGATTTATGATGTCAAATGATATTTTATAAAAAGACTCAAAATGCGTTTCATACTTGCCTCCATTGTAAAGCCTATAACTTTGAAGCATTGCTCTATTGATTCATATTGGGATTTATAGAAACTATTATTCACCATGTCCTGCACCGTTCTGAGGTGATCATTTTGCAGATACCTGAAAAAATAAAAGAAAAGAAAGGATAAAAATCTAAAATCCAGTAGAAAGCATTACTTAAAAGAAAACACAACTTGCTGAGTTACCTGGGAGGCTTATTTTCAGGCAATTTGTAATGGGCTAGTTTCTTCTTTTCAGCTAAGCCAGCATAGATGTAGTAAAAAATATGAAAATTTTTTTCTCCACTGAAAAAATTAAGACATTTTCAATAAGGGGGTTAGTGAGAATATTTGTTAATTTAAAAATTTACTTCGAGATATAGTTATTAGAAAATAGCAACAAAAATTGTGAATGCCAACGTGGGTGCCCTGGAATGTTAAATTTTGAATTTCCATGGTGGTTATTATTGTCATTATTGTTAACAACGAATGTCATTAAATTCACGACACTATGAGAAGCACTTTATAGGAATCAGTTAAAACATACTTGTGAGTGACCATCAGGCATTTTTCTCAACACCGACAACAGCATGAGTAAAAGAGTAAAGAAATCCTAACATTTGGAGTTTACATGCCAGTGGGAGCAGATAGAAAAAGAGATAATTAGTACATATTGTATGCCAGGGGTTCTAAATGTTCATTTACTGCCATAAGCCCTTAAAGTAGGCACTGTTGTTGTGGTAAGTGACATCAGTTCATTTTGACTCATAGCAACCCTGTATAGGTTTTCCTGAGGAGCAGCTGGTGAGTTTGAATCCCAGATCCTGCGGTTCAAATTGACCTTACAGTCTAGTGCATTATTCTGCAGTGCCACACCAGGATTACTGAGGCTTAGTGGGGTTACAAATCTCACCCAAGTTGGCTGAATTGGATCCAACCGGGTCTTTCTGACCTCCAAAGTCCAAGTCTTTAACCACAGTTTTTACACTGTATTTCTGGGGCTCAATTTTCTCACATGTATGAGAATGCCTCTTTAAAGTCTCAAATCCATGACCCCATGATTCTCTGTATAATAGCATTTCCAGATTCAACACTCTGGAAGAATACAATTAAGGAGAAATGGGTCACAACAAGGTGACTCTTAGACTCTGGAATAGTTTCCACAATACAGTTGCTGAAATTTTAGCAACTCTTTCTCTCCCTTCCTCTGCCCATTTTCAAATCTTTTTGCTCTGGCAGATTTCTGAGATGGTTCACAATTTCTCCTGGCGATCAGTCAAGTTCTCTTCTGAAACAGAGGAGGGTAATCTTCTTGCTTTGAAATTTCACTGTTTCTTCTGCTCCCTCTCCAGCACTGAATTCCTTCCATTCTTGATGACTATTAGCTGTTTGGTAGACATTGAGTTTGCATCTGTCTGTGGCATTTTCCTTTTCATCCTTTACAATGGGCCTGCCTCTTGTTTCTGGTGATCCTAATACCCCCTCAAAAGCCTCACTTAAATTGACTGGCTTACAAGCTTTCAAGAGAGAACCTAGATCCAGAGGGCCTGGTGGAAGGTAGAATCTCCAGTGAGTAGGATTCAATCTGACTAGGCAATGAAATGCAGATGGGTCTCTTGTGATACAATAGTGAATAATTGTTATCAGGACTGATTGTGAGGGTTGGAAATGTAAAGGTAGACGTTTTATAGCAAGGAGGGGAGTGATTAACTTTTCAGTCCAGGAGCGGAGGTCCCTAGGACCATCAAGGGAGAAGAGCAGAGAGCAGGACCCTACCCAAAGAAGCAGTGATGCCTGAAATGGAAGCAGAGATGATGACGTGGAGCGATGGGGCAGCTGGAGACTTTAGATCCAGAGAGGGAGAGCGACTGTGTGCTGAAGACCTGGGGGTACGGGGAAAGGATTGCATGGAGGGGATTGTAACCATGGCAATGAGACGATATATGATAGAATGAATGTAAAACCAATGTTCTCCCATATAAACTATCACATAATTCACAATAAAACATTTAAGAAAAAAAAAAAAAAAAAAAAGCCTCACTTAATTATCTCCAAGCTAACAGGGGCTGGGGATGAGGCAGGAGAGCGTTCAGCCCTCCTATAGTGATAAAATTAATTATAACCTGAAACCCTGTTCTCTTCATTTCTTTTTATTTCATTCATCTTTCGGTTACTATACGACAACCATTCAGCACAAAGCTTTGAATGCTTTTATTTTGTTGTAGAGTTCACTTCCAACTGATGGTGATAGACTGAACAGAATATACAACAGAATGAAGTACTGCCCAGTCCCGTGTCCATCAGCGGATTGGAGCACTGTCCTTCATATGGTTTTCACTGGCTGATTTTTGGCCTTTCTTGTTGTGGTTGTTGTTATTGTTGTTAAGTGTTGTAGAGTTGATTCCAACCCATAGTGACCCTGTATAGGGTTTCCAAGGAGCAGCTGGTGAGCCTGAACTGTTGACCTTGCAGTTCAAACGACACTGCAGTCTGACATATTAGCCCATAGCACCACACCAGGACTCCTTTCTTCTTAGTCCATTTTAATCTGGAAGCTTCACTGAAACCTGTTCAGTATCATAGCAAAGCACAAGCCTCTGTGGACAGAAAGGTGGTGACCACATATGAGGTGCATTGGCCAGAAATGAACCAGGTCTCCAGCATGGAAGTGCAGATGTTACTAATGGGCCTGGTTCAGAAAGTATGAAATTGTTGCTGTACAGCCTCTCCTCCTGCCATCTTTGCCTGTGTGCTCAGGGCCCGCTCCCTTATCAACCTCACAGGGGGACTGCAAGCACCTTATAGCACCTCATAGCACTTCTCCCCCTTCCCCTTCTCCTACCTCTTCAGAGCCTTTATCAGCAGGCTATGGGAGCCGATGAAATATTTTCAGAAAAGGAATAATATTATTCAGTAAAGACAGCTTTTGATATTTGGTGGTGGTGGTGGTTATGTGATGTGGAATTGGTTCCGATTCATAGTGACCCTGCATAGGGTTCTGAGGCTGTAAATCTTTATGGAGCAGAAAGCCTCATCTTTCTCCTGTGGAACAGCTGGTAGTTTCCAACTGTTGACCTTGAGACTAGCAGCCTGATTGGTAACCACTATGCTACCAAAGCTACTTGGATAACATCATTCAGCAAGGATAACTTTTGATATTTGTTGTTATTAGGTGCCATTGAGTTGGTACCGACTCATAGCAACCCCGCATACAACAGAACGAAACACTGCTCCATCTGGGGCCAACCTCACAACCATTACTACTTTTGAGCCCACTGTGCCAATCCACCTCACTGAGGGACTTTCTCTTTTTCTCCAACCATCAACATTATTCAGACAGCTTTCTTTTAATCTCTCAAAAATTATGTTTGTTGTTGAAAATACACAGCGGAACATACACCAACTCAACAATTTCTACATGTATATTCATTACAGTCGTCACATTTTGCAACCCTTCTCACACTTTTTTTCTGCATAGTTCCTCTTTCTTTAACTCACTGGCCCCTAAGCTTCCCTTCTAACCTTTTGAGTTTGATTCCATACAGAACAGATCAGTCTTTACAAAGATTACAATGCCTAAGGCACATGTTGTTGCTAAGTGCCATTGAGTAAGTTCCAACCCATAGCAAACCTGTATAGTAGTTCAAACCAACTTTTCAGTCCAGCACATTAGCCCACAGCACCATACCAGGGCTCTTTATTAATTAATCCATGACAATTTGAAATTTTGTTCCATTACCCAACCCCCATTTTTTCAGGATTCTTCTATTGAATCATTAATGAAAACATTATTCAGTAAAGGTAGCTGGGCACCATTCAGTTCTTCTGGTCTCATAGCAAAAGAAGCAGTTGTTCTTGGAGGCAAATTGCGATGAATGCCACTAAGGCAGGGATAGTTTTTGATAGCTAGGATAATGTTATTAAGCAAAGATAGTTTTGAACAACAAAGTCTTTGAGTGTTTTTTCACATGAAGTACATGGAACAGAAACTTTACCTAAAAGGAAAGAAAGTATTTAAAACTTTCCTAGGTATTTTCCTACAGTATATTCAGTATAACCTCAATTGAGATGAAAATTACCATTGGCTCTCTTTAGAAAATATTTATTCTTTCAGTATACAAAAAATTTTCTCAAAATTGATGGTAACTTAAGTATTCCTAACAGATGACCCCATATAAAGTAATTTAAAATGACACTAAGGTTTGCTATTTGTGTCACAACTGACTATTTAAGTCACTCTATTTAGTTTCTCCTGAAGGGTAACAAATAACAATGTTTATAGGAAAGTACACAATTTGATAAAGTAATATTAGTACAAATCTCTGTTCTGACTTCTTTGTATTCTGAAATACATTTTCAAAAGACAAAAAGTACCAGTGCTATTGATTACTGTGCATTCTGAGTGTTGTTAAATGCTGTTGAGTTGGTTCCAATCCATAGTGATCCTGTACTGGGTTTCCACTTGCCTTGTGGTTCAAACTGATCTTGTGGTCCAGTGCTTGTACTACAGAGCCACACCAGGACTGCTACTAAGAGAGTTCAAATGTTCAGGAAATCAAATCTCCGAAAGGTCTAGATTATAGGTAACAATGCTTTGAGATAAAATAACCACAGGAAAGAAAAAGAAGAGGATAGATGCAAAAGTGTTTTTTGGGATCAACTCCTGACAACTTGACAACTATTTAGAAATGGAGAATCAAAAGAGAATCAGAGGTTTACCAAGGTTAGTCAAAAAGTCTGGCTACAAAACCATACAAACTTTTCTTAAACAAAAATATCAAAATGTGAAGCTGTTGCTTCTTGACCTGTTCTC